ACCATCTAGAAAAAGAAAATGTGGTGGCTGATACACTAAGTCGCAGTACTCCGACATGATCGCAAAACTAATAGCTTCCGAATATGAAATTCTAGAGACCCTACAAGAATTACAATGGAGTGTTCACAAACGAGGAATGTATGTAGCCAATTTAAGAATTGATCCAGTATTGATTCAAAATATTAAAGATGCTCAAAAAACCGACACTATTATAAAGACCTTGAAGAAAGAAAATGAACAGGGTTTAAGGTCTGACTTCAGAGTTTACAATGATGGATTGCTTTCATTCAGAGGAATATTGTGCGTTTCTGATGACCTTAACTTGAAGAGGCTCATATTAGAGAAAGCACATAATTCTAGATTTACCATACACCCAAACATCACCAAAATATATCAGAATTTACAACCTCAGTATTGGTAGAATAGGATGAAGGAAGATATCTCTGAATTTGTTAGTAAATATCTCACATGTCAGAGGATTAAAGCCGAACACCAAAAGCTAAGGGGATTACTCTGACCTCTATTAATTCTAGAGTGGAAGTAGAAACACATCACTATGAACTTTATGATGGTTTTGCCTAGAACCAAATTGAATCAAAATACTATTTGGGTGATAGTGGACCGATTAACGAAGTCAACTCATTTTCTACCAATGAAAGCTACAGATTATCTGGATAAACTTGTCAGATTATATATTGAGAAAATTATTAGACTTCATGGAATTCCAATATCAGTAGTCTCAGATCAAGATGCTCATTTCACTTTCAGGTTTTGGATTAGCCTTCAACAAGTCTTACGCACCACCTTATCATTCAGCATAGCACTCCACCCACAAACGGATGGTCAAACAAAAAGAACCATCCAGATATTAAAAGATATGCTTACGACTTATGCACTAGAGATGGGAGAAAGTTGGGACGACCACCTACCCTTGATTGAATTTGCCTATAACAATAGCTATAAGTCTAGTATTAGTGCAACTCCATATAAAGTACTTTATGGAAAACCTTGCAGATCTCCTGTGTGTTGGGAAGAAACTGGGGACAGGAAATTAATTGGATACGAATTAATTGAAGAAACTACCTCTAAGATTATTCTAATTAAAAAAAAATCTTCAAACTGGCCAAATTAGACATAAGCATTATGCAGATAACAGTAGAAAGAGTTTAGAATTTAAAACAGGGGATCATGTGTTCTTAAAAGTGTCACCAATGAAGGGTCTTATGAGATTTGGAAAGAAAAACAAATTGAGTCCTCGCTTCATTAGACCATTCGATATACTGGAGAGAATTAGATCTACTGCTTACTGATTGGCATTGCCACCAGAGTTGGCTAACGTTCATGATGTATTTCATGGGTGCATGTTACGTAAATAACATCTTGATCCAACACATATAATTCAATGCGAAGAGGTTCTTGTTGAAGAAGATATATCCTATCAAGAAATGCCCATAGATATATTAGACAAACAAGAGCGGGTATTAAGAAATAAGACTATTCTGATGGTTAAGGTACTCTGGCGACATCATTCACCAGCAGAAGCTACCTGAGAGACTGAGGATTCGATACGAGCTCGATTTCCTCACTTGCTTTAGTGACATATCAAATTTGGAGGACAAAATTTCTATAAAAAGATGAGAATTGTAACATCCACCCAAAGAAAACAAAAGAAATGTAAAATAAATCAATAAAATTAGAATTAGAAAAAGAGGGGCAAAAACATAAATAAAAAAAGTGAAAGGGGGTAAAAAAAAATCAAGAAAATGGACAACCCAGATCGGACCACTGAAAGAAATTTTAAAAAAAAAACTGACAGCCCAGATCGAGCTTGTGTGATCCAACGGCTGAGGGAACGGATATAAAAGGGAAAGAGATTAGGATTTTTTCTTCATTTTGAAGAGTAGTCGAAAAAAAGAGGGAGATAAGGAGAGAGGGGCGATTGAGGAGAGAAGGAAGAGAGGGTGTCGCATGGGGAAGCTGAGAGAGAGAAAAGAGAGAAGAAATAAGAGAGAGGACGGAAAAGAAAAAGGGAAGGGAGAAGAAAAAATAGAAAGGGAAAAAAAAGTGTGGTCAAACGAGGTAGGTAGAGAGAGCTAAGAATAGCCACCGCAAGGGGAAGAAAAGAAGAAAGAGAGTGGCAGAGGCAGTGAGTGGTGGACTTTGAAGCCAAAAGGAAGAAGAAGGGAAGGAAAACAATCGAGACATCGTGTGAAGGCGGAGACCGATGCAAACAAAGGTAAGTTTCATCCTTTTTTTCGTTCTTCTCTTTCTATTTCGTTATATTCTTTTGCTTTGCTTACTAATCAATTTGTAAGTTTGAGAAATCACCATCCAAATCTCAAATAAGCTAAAGAGCCACAGGGTGACCAAGAGAAGATAACCAGGAGCCAAACTGAGGCCAAATCGCTCACACTGAAAGTAAAATCATTCTATTTTTGTGTTTTGATGGTGGTTTGAGCGGCGGTAGAGCGGAACGATGTTGGGCTGGCCGCGCAGGCCTAGCCTGGCCACCGACTTGTGCATGAATCGAGGAGGTTCACTCGAGAATAGAGAAACCCACCCACCGTAAAAGTCGAAGGGTCTTCTGCAGGAATGGAGGTCATAATCGCCTTTTGAGATTTCGATTTGCCATTCGAAAAGCTGAAAAGCCTTTCTCGAAAACAGAAATCTGATTCACTGAACAGGGAGCATAAAAATTTTTCGGGTACGGATCCTGATAATTTCAGGTATTTCGTTGGCTGGTCGTTGGAACTCGTAATTCGATTAAATTAATTTTAGTATTTCGAAGTATTTTAATTAATTTATATCATGTGTACAGAAAAATTAAGACATTCAGGCGAATTCAGGAATACACGTAGAAGTGTAAGTATTTTTAAATCTCAACCGGATTTGAATTTTGAAAAGTGCATTCATTTGATAAAAATTATGAATTTTGAAATTTGAACGGACATTGACCTAATTTTCGATAAAAAAAATAGAAGCCAAATTATGATCAGTAAACTTAAGCAATTGAAACCCTATGAGGAGACGAAACCAGAAAGTAAACCTAACGGATTGAAAGTTATTTGGACTTATAAAATACAAAGTTAAAAATTAAGAAAATTCTCAATTAAGTGAAAAATTGAAAAAGAAAAGGAAATAAAATAAAAAAGTAAAAACAGAAAGAAAAAGAAATACGCGAGGTAGTGAAATGATCATTTAAATAAAATTAAGAAAAAATAAGAATTATGAAAATGAGATGGTGTGAGTAAAGAGGGTAGAAAACTCTGAAATACCTTTCGTTTAATTCGAATCGAGAAAGGGAGTGTGTGTGTGTGTAGCTGAAGTTCAGTGGGTATGGTGAACGTGCACATGAATAAAGTCTGAAATATAATTCATACATGGATAGATATTTGTGAGTGTGGGTCACCTATCAAACGTACTTGTTGTGACCATTGTAAGATTTGTGTGTGTATGTTATCCATACGATAGAGAGATTCATTTCATCTCTAATCAATTACAACATAAACGACATCACACGATGAAACCATATAAATGTCATTTTGAGTATATATGTGATCTTTTGTATATGTGTAATTATGTCTCGGAATAATAATTGATATTCAAATATATTTATAATTTTCGAGAGTATAAAAATATACATTCGAGATTTGTATATAATATTCGAAAAAATTCAAAAAATTGATCAGAAATATGTGAAATAATGAAAATAAAAAAATAAATTTTACACTGAAACATTTTTATTGCTTTTATTTCTCACCGTTTATTTTGCATGAAATTTTATCTAAATTAAAAGAACGGAAATACTTATTGAGTTAGTGAAACTCATTAAATTTCACTCCGATATTTTTTAGAAAAAAATGAAAAACTAACACCACTAATAGACAAGTAAAACCTGTAAAAAAGTTCTTATTTTTATATATTTTGTGCATATTCTGAGAAATTTTATTTCGTTCTGGTAAAATTTAAATTTAGATCTCATATTTTATATATATAATTAATGTACATATCACATGAGATATTAATTTATATTATATATATATGAGTAACATGAGTAAGAATTGCTTCGGAGCGTAACATTACTTCCTCAGTAGAAATACATAAAACCAAATAGGAAACTTACAAAATCCTGCTCACATCTCTCAACTCGCAAGGATGAGACCAAACTCATACTCTCTGAACCTAATGAGTATTACACACCAACCCCAGAGGCCAAAAATAAAGCTATTTTTAGTTTACTAAATGAACAAACTTTTTAATATGTATATATTTTTCACCTTTAACCTACTGATGAAACAGAATCATTCAGAATTTACAGCAAAGAAGTCCTCGTCTCCAACCCCTGTGCTTTCGGAGATATCTTCTGTCAGCTTTTGCCATTCTAACAGGACTGCTATTCCATTCAGACTGCAAGCTGCAATCAACAAAGAGAAATATTTTATTCAATAGTTAGGTATCGACTGTAATGTCAATAAATATGAGATAAATAGTTTGACAGATATATACACGGGGAAAGCAAAGGAACGAGTGCTAGTTGTGCTGCTATCTGATCGTAGTGACAGACTGCCAGAATATGCTATTGGTCCTGAGTAACTTATTAAACCTGATATTGGACCTGTCGCAGAGAAACTTGTCTCCCCAATACCATTCTGAATGTGGCCGGAGACTGATTGGTCTTTTAAATCTTTGAGCACGCTGGTACTTTTAGACTCGAGATGTTCAGAATCAAGATTTAGCCAATACTCTTTCCCACCAGTCAACATGGGAATACGAGAGTTGTGATCAACATTGATGCCTTCAGTCTCTATTTTGTTACCGGAAGACACCTCGTTATCAAGGCTGTTGTTGTTGATTAGTTCTTCAGTTATACAGCTTGCCATGTCGAGATTGTCACTGCTACTACTTATTTCTTCAGCAGAGCCCACCAAGTTTGTTTCCTGATTGTCTTTGTTTGGTTCCTCAGCTGCTGGAACCAGAGCAAGATGCATCACAACTGCTTCCCCACTGTCACTGTTCAATTCCTCCCCTGCAGAAGCCACTGCAGCACCTGCCAATGTTGTATTTCCACTTGAGCTCTGCATTAGTATCATACAATGGGAATCAACATGCATAGACCAGAAACTTTAATGAAATAATAAAAGCAGATAATTGTTGCATGAAGTCTAAAGCTCGAAATATCATCTTTTTACCTTCATAGCAACATTAAAAATGCACTTTCTGTTTTTAGTTCGTGGCAAAAAAAGTTAATTAATGTGGTTTATGTGGAACCCACAAAACCATTAGGTTCCCTAATGCTACATTTCCCTACACAACATGATAATTTGGTAATTACATGCATACCTGAGAAGATTGTTCAAGTTCATTGCTACTGTTGGAAGAAGGGACAGGTCCGGATTTCTCCATGTTCAATTCTGGCATTGAAAGAATATCACCAAGTGTAAAAGCCTCTTTGGAGACATCATTTGCTGGCTTGTCCATTGCATCATCATTCACTTCCCCAGACAGCATAAAACCCCTTGGATTGCATATGTTGCCAATATGCTTGTCAGAATTGGTTTCTCCTGGTGATTTCATATTATCCTGGGCCACCGCATTGTTCTCCTGGCTTTCTTTCATAATTACCTGGACCAGTTCATCGTTTTCTTTGATCCATGGATGATTCTGATCCTTTTCTGGAGGCTGGCTGTTGCAAATACTCTTCTCATCCACACCACAAGCAAACAAGTACTTGTCCTGCATAGGCACACCCTCGTCAATGCAGATGTCTTTAACAACATGATAGGTGTTCTCCTTGTAGCAAACTATTAACTCGGGCAGTTCATGTTCAACAACACTTTTGTCCATATAAACAACTGAATTCTTCTCAGTCAAGTCCCTTTTTCTGAAACGAGAACAAATTGTGTGGTCGCTTTTCATTATCATATGTGAGATTGTTCACATGCATGGATGAATCAAGTTTTGCAGCATTCTAATCTTTCCGGTCATTCATTCAAAATGGTAATTGATCTCCATAGTCCTTGTTATCCCTTAAACTGCACAGAACCCTCAGATCTTGTTTCATTATTCCATTTCTTGATTTTACCTCGCTGGAACCCACATTATTTCACTGTATTCAAAAGGTTTACAGATTTGCTTGTAGGCCTAGATTTGAATTGCAAAACACTTGCTCATTAATCTGCAAGAATGTTAAAATACTCAATAAAGTGGAAAATTAGAAAAAAAAAATACTGCTACCAAAGTAAGTCCTCAAATAAGAGCAGTGTCCCAATTTCAGAAAGTAGACAGTATTCAAACTCAAAGTCATGCCACCAAAAAAGATAGAACAGATCAAAAGTTTAAATATCTTTAACAGGATTAAGAGGAAAAAGCAGATAACAAGTATTGCAAGCCTCAGAGGAAGATAAAATGAGATGAACACAGACTATCCTCCGGAAAATAATAACAATAATAATAAAATGGTTAAATTATCGAGTTTCAAGATTTACAACATGAAGTTGAGAGATTATACAGGAGAATTATTCAGAGCCAGCACAAGTTATATCTTCAAGCATGAAACACTCAGACAATTAGCAATCTCCATGAACATAAAATGCATGACAAATTAGGTTTGCAGGCAATTTTTTATGACCATTCTGCAGTTAAGAATATTCATAACAATGACAACAAGGAACTGCAACGGATAAATATATCCAGGTCAAAAAAAAAATTAAGCATACAACAACTGAATATAAAAGTAAAACTGTGAACTATGTAAACATTCAACAAGCATGACTTATGCTTTTCCCCTTAAAGAACTTCAAGCCAAAAAAAGGCAACAAGAAAGCCATCTGCAAGACCTCAAACCAAACACAATTTTACAGTAATTGATACCGTGAATCGGATCACCACCTCCTAAATAGAAACAAAGCATACAATCATCCAACAAAGCTAGAGGCAAATACAAACTCAGAACAGAAAACATATTTGTGAAAGTATTACAAGAAGAAAAAAATTAGTGAGAGAGCTGCTAGAAATTATGCCAGAGGGAAGACCCATCATCGATCTTAAACAAAAGAAAATAATCAACTCAACCATCTCCAAATTAAGAGATTATATTAAGCAAAAAGGAAGCAATCATCAACCTCCATACCTGCTTTTTGTCAAATGGAGAGAAAAATCAAAAGAAAGCTGATATGCACCCAGTAGGCTTAGTGCATGACCAATCATTAAAGTTAAAAAGGAGAATAAATATTAATTAATTCCATTTTTTAAATATAATCTAATGCTCATTTATGGAAATAATCATACCGGCAATGAATATTACTCTATAAAATAATAAAAAGAAAAAACAATGAACTGTTCAATTGTATGTAGAAAGCAACAGTGGCAAATACAATAGGTACAAAAGAATGATTCAGGGCGATTGGTATTAGCTAAGCATGTGGAATCTTTTAATCTGTCCTCAATATACAGTATGTATATGTAACTCTGTGTGTCTGTCTCTATATATATACACAAAGAGATGAAGACAAAAGAAAATATTTCTTTTTCAAAGATTACATAATTGCAACTAACTACAGCCAATATATATATAATCTTGATTTAACAAACCAAATGACCCTAATTTTACAATAAATATCAAAATTATTTGTTTGAAAATGCTAATAAGATCTCCTCAAATGAATTTTAAAAGACTGGCAACCTGGAAGATGCTAAAGAAAACCCCAGAAGGATTTTACCTCAATCTAATAAGAAAAGCTAGTTAAAAAAAAAAAACAAATAGACGACTAAATCAGATCCCACCTAAGAAACACACAAACCAAAAAAAGCCCAGAAAAGTGCTAAGAAACATACAGGCGTAGAAAAAAATGGTAAAGTACCTTTTAGAAAAGACGACTCTGCTTCAGAACTGACAGTCTTCTGTGATCTTCACTGCAAAAAGGAACAAAAAAAACATAAATAACCCATAAAAATATAAGACATGGAAAAGGGATGAAACAAAGATGGGATCGAAAAGAGAGAGAGAGAGAGAGAGAGAGAGAGAGAGAGCGAGACGAAACCCAGAAAGAGAAAATCTTGAGCAGAGGATGAGGAAATATTGAATGGGCGAAGTGAAGCAGATGGTTTAAATTAAAGCTCAAAACTAGATTGACACAATATAGTTTCGGGTGTTTAATGGAAAAGAGAAGGAGAAAGTAAGTAGTAGGAAAACTCGAGTAATAAATGATAAAGCAAAGAGAGGAAAGCAAATAATAAATAGAGAAGAGAGAGGAGGAGGAGAGAACAGAGTTGTAATTATCAAAAACCTAATAGAAATAAAGGTCAACTGATTACCATCCCTGCAATTAATTTTTGAGAGCAACAAACGGCTATTTTTACCTGTTATACCAATCTTTTTATTAGCCTCTGTTTTTTTCGCATTAAATTATCAACCCACCACCCAACTCCCACCCCAAAACCAAAATTTAAAACCCAAAAAATAATGCAAACTTTCTCATGCTCTTCAACTTCACGTCTCTTTCTCTCTCTGATTTCCGATAAAATTTCCAGTTTTCTCAAAATTTTCCTCCTCCCCAAACAGCTCCACTGCCACTCAGTCAACAACTTTTTACCGTTGTGGAACTTCCCGAAATCCCTCGATTTTCGTAACCATCTGCATATAACAAAGAACAAATTCTCCCTTCGAAGATGACAAAAGGAGGAGAATTTGAGCTCTCTCTCTCGGCCCTATCTGAAAGTTTAAACCAAAAATAAATTATTTTTTAAAAAAACAAAGTCAACTGTTTTATATTTTGTTTTTTGGTGGGCTGGAAAAAGCAGCAGCAAGATTAACGGCGAGAGATCGACGCGAAAATGTTAGAGTGCAGCTGCGACTCACCGTATTATGATGCTGCGTCAGTTTGTCGAGATCCTGAGCTGTCGTTTTTTAATATAAAAAACAATATTATATTATATGATATCTCTCTCACACCGGAAGATTTCTCTTTTCACTCTCACCGGGTTTTGGGACCCACAGTATCGCGTTCGGTTCATCCTCCCCACTCACCGAGTCAACTCAACAATTCATTTTCTCTTCTTCTTTTCTTTTTTTGTTTTTGCACGTCTTCTGACTTTGATCCTGTTAATCATGACGAATGAGTAGACAAATATTTTATTAGCGTACAGTGCGTAACACTGGATGCAAGCTCTTCTTGTCTTTCTCGGGATCCAAGCAGAATGATCTGGAAATTCACACGTGTCCCGCTGGATATGATTCAAGTTAACGTGCGCCGGGGAGGGAAGATAAAGTCTATTTTGTCGTTACGTGACGCGGCGGAGCCGAGGAGGCAAAACCGGAGCGTGCGTTTGGGAACTGAGAATGATGAGGTACAGGTGGGACTACCGTACACTCTTATATCTGAAGCGTGTCTTCGGGAGATAGGCCCCATGGAAATATGATGAAGGTCCCTGATTGATTCCGCCTTTTACTTTTCTCTGTGGACCCCACATCTTTTAGCCACATCACGGGTCAGGACTCGCCCTTCCTTTTCTTCATTCTTTACTCGACCGACCCCTCTCTTTTATCGCCCAAAAACATTTGCTATTAATTTAATTGAATGATATGTTATTTAATTTTTAATTATTAATTATTAAGATACAGAAGGTAAATATGATTTATAATTAAATTAGATTCATTTTTATTTTTAATTTTGTAAAAATAAAATTTTATTAATTATACAATAATATTAAATAAGAATTATGAATAAAAATTATGTTTCATAAATTTTATTAATAAATTAAAAAATTTTAAAAATTATTAAACAAAAAAGTGTTCGTTACTATATTAAATAAGAGTTACGAATAAAAAGCATCATGAAAACTCAACTAATTTAAATATCTAGAGAAATAATAATAGAGTGTTAAAACGAGTGAAAATGTTAAATGATAATGTAATTGATCTTAACGAAAAGTTCTTATGAATTATATAATTTGAAGTGAGCTTTAAGTATACCATATAGGTGGAAATTATCTAAGAACTCAAACTATATTCATAACTCATCTCATTTGTGAGTAGGAATTATCACTTCCATAATATAATTAGTAAGGTTAAAAAAAATGCTATGAATAATTTTTTGTAAATGGTAAACATGTCGTTAATATATTGTCAGATTATATAGAAATAAAAATTAAAATAAATATCATTTATATGGATGAGTTTGTTGTGATGCAACAATGATCCTAACTTTTTTTCGTAATTTATATTATCTTAAAACTTATAAAAATACTAAAGATAGATGAATAAAGACGTATATTAAATAGTTAAAGAAATGTGCAAATGATGTCATCTTTATGTAGTATGCTTAGTAAAATTTAATTTAAATAAGACTAATTAAATTAAATAACTAAATAGATTTCTCATTTTAAGACACCAACTCAGATTTAATTCAATTATTTTATAAATATATATAAATTTAACTTATTTGCTCTGACATATTATGTAGTAATAAGAACGTAGTGAATTCATACTTGTAAAGGTGGACATGATGTAAAAAATATATATATAATAATTTTTATTTACGAATATTTTTTACATAATAATTTATAATAAATAATTGAAATAATTATTTTACATTAAAAAAAAAACATAGGTAACTTAACTTACATAAACAAATGACATAATAACACTTTGGGATCATGTGCATATAATAATGAGGAGAAATGAAAATCGTGTCCTAATGGTCAAAGTTGGCAAATAGTCTGTACGCATATACAACATCTATTAATAATTATATATTTTAAAATGCGTAGATAAAAATACTAAATAAATTTTAAAAATATTAATAAAATTTCTTATATAAGCCGAGTTTTTTTAACCAATGAACTTTTATCTCGCTGTAACAACCCCGGAAATTCATAATGGAATTTACATTATAAATATCCAATGCGGAAGCGAAGTCAAAATTTGAATAACATCCCTTACACTGAAACCAAAACGTGCTCACAAAATATAGAAAATTAAACTACCTAAAGGAGAAACTTGAAAGTAAAAACTACGAATGTAACTATGGAGTCTTTAGGCATCCCCTTCGTCGTCCGCCTGCGGAACCGGCTCGGGAACGATGTCCTCTTGATCTGAAATGATTAAATAAGGAATGAGCTACACTAACCCAGTAAAGACATCACGATATCTCACCGTCATGGAGGTAAAAGTGGGTAGAAAACACGAAAAGACCAATGGAGCATAATTTACAACAAATCCTTTTATCGATAATAAAACCTTTACCATTCACTTACCCGGTGAAATTCATAAGACAATATACGAAAACAATAACATCATTATCATCACGAAAACATATATATGAACTGTATAACATAATACCTATCACACTTTTCGTAATTCAATCGTTAACAATATATTTTCCTAATTCACCAGCCCACTAGTATCCATGGGGATCCATAGGGGTCCCGCTACCCGTTAATCCTTAACACTTGAAATCATATTCCAGGGCCCTCCCCATACCCCGTCCGGTATGGGCGCCAAACCATAGACCTCATTACCCCGTCCGGTATGAGGGTGAAACGGACCGTCCCCATACCCCGTCCGGTATGGGCGCCAAACACATAAGATCTCCATACCCCGTCCGGTATGGGAGACCACAATCCCGGTAGGGTTCCCTACGGACCTGGTCCGTCCACCATCTCCCAGGATATCTAGTCAGGCTGACCACATTATACAATTTCCATTTACATAATCTTTCATTCTCATTTTCCCTCAGTCAGCATTATTAATCACATACAAACAAGCAAAACGATAATTTATGCCAAACAGACAACATACAGCATCAATATCCCGGTCATTCAATCCATAATCAATAAAACAGTAAAATATGCACACGAAACTATAAAATGAAAACATCAAACCTCATGCTGCATTTAAAACTGTAAAACAGGCCAAATAACAGTTAACCGACAAACACACTAGACTCGGGCTCCATTAGCGACCTTAAGCAATTTCACACATTCGTTGATTCATGAAATACCGTTTTATCGTTTATTGAACTTTAAAACCGTGATAGAAAATAGGGTGAGGGGTCCTTACTCGTTTCGGGGTCCGAACACGGCTTCACAGTGCGCTTGCAGGCTGTCCCTAATTTTCCCTGAATTTTCCTCGGGGAACTGAAACGCACTACTGGTACCTGCACGTGTTCCAAAAAAAATCCCAAATTAGGCTCAGGGCTCCTTTTTGGCCAATATCGCAATTCCAGCACGGCGGCTCCCCCGTGCTCCGGTGGCGGCGATTCGCCTCGGGTTGGCCGTTTTCGGCCGTTTCCGGCCGAATTCGGCCACACTTGCATCATTTCCTGCGATAAGACAACCCTAGGGCCCTCGAGGAGCCAAAAAAATTACGGAAAACCGAAGCTTACCAGCGGCGGTGCTCTCGGGTGCGACGGCTCTCCGGTGAGGTTCGTGCTTTGGTGATTTGGCTCCGATCAATTGTGCAATGAAGGTTGGGTCTCGGTGATGATAAGCTGCAATGTATATGATTGCCGCTCGAAAATTAAGGACAGCAGAGAGAGAGCTTCTTCTGTGACAGAGATGGCCTGAGCTGCTTGGAGTCGCGCTGAAGAAAATACAGAGATGGGTGATATTTGTGTTATGTCAATAAGTAGAGGCCAGTAATTGGTTCTGCGAGTAGAAGGGAAAATAAAGAATGAGAAGAACAATTTGAGGGGATTTTTCTAAGTATTTTGCGAAGAGTCCATGGAGAAGATGAGCTCTCTCTCTCTTCTCGGCCTCCTCTCTCTCTCTACGCCCCTTTAGCCTCAAGGATTCCTCCTTTCTCTGTTTTCGAGTTTCGTTCTTTATAGTGGAGCGAAGCTGTTTAGATCAGCATCCCCGCACTGAAGATTCTCTAAAAATCACAAAAACCCATCTCTTCCCGCTCGCAACGTGCACGTCTTTCCTTCCTTCTTCTTCTCCCGTTTTCTGCGCCACTACGCTGCTTATAGTGGAGCGAACTGTTTAGATCAGCATCCTCGCACTGAAGATTCTCCAAAAATCACGAAAACCCATCTCTTCCCGCTCGCGACGTGCACGTCTTTGCTTCCTTCTTCTTCTTCCGTTCTCTGCGCCACCACGCTCGTTTTTTTTTTTTTTGGCTGGATAAATAATTAATGAGGAAATTACAAAAATGCCCACGTTCTGGGCGTTACAACTCTCCTCCCCTTAAAGAAATTTGGTATCCCAAATTTGCCTCTTACTCTTGATCGAACAGATGGGGATACTGGGCTTTAAATTCTGATTCCAGTTCCCAAGTAGCCTCCCTGGGCGTGTGGTTCTGCCACACGACCTTTACAAATGATATTTTCCGG